CCTCAATTCCTGCACTACCTTGGATCGAGCATCATCATTCAATCATGTCAAAGCCTAGTACAAACTAGAACATCGTCAAAACAAGTAATTTTTCACTCTAGAGGTAACTAATCGTCATATTTCATATAATTGAAACCACTTTCGATGCAGAAAAACCATATTCACATGGACTAAGAAAGAAAAGAAAAAAAGAAAATATAACATACCTAACCATCCCAATTGTCTACATTTGAGACATGACTAAAGAACGTTTCACCTCACTACTAGCAAAGAACCAACAACCAAACACCTAGTGAAATTAGATTTTGTTAAACCCAAGCCATCAAGACATATACAAATCAAGCCCAACAAAGCTAAACCTAGTTAGAATCAATCCAACCTACACAAAATTAACAAAACTGAATCAAGACATAGAGAAATCATGTCAAATAGATCTTAGATAGAACCCATATCCGAGGCTTGTCCCAACGATCCAATCCTATCAAGATATAGTTGAATCCATCCCAATTATTTGAACCTAGCTAGAACCAAAATAATCTACTTTAGATTAACGAAACTAACTCTAACAAATTCAACATAACTAAACCAAGCCAAAGCTAGGTAATTCATCCTTACCTAAATAGCTTAGGCCAATGAACTGAACCTTTTGATCAAATCTACCATTGCCCTTTAAAACACAGTTGAGTGAAAAATGAAATACTAAGATGAACCTAAAACCTTTTCCATTCCAACTTGACATTGCAGAGCCTAGTTCGAATATAGACTTGCTTGAAGCTTGAACATCACACAAATTCAACAAAACCAAGTTAAAGCATAATCCTAAAATGTTAACCAACTTAACAAGAACTATGAAGGGCAAAACTGGAATGTTACACTTGACCCCTATATTTGATTACAGTACTTCACTAGGTGTCGGATTTGGCTATTTTTGATATGTTAATCAGTGAGATCCTTAGAGGGGGTCAAAACCTGGGTATGTTGGGGTAATCCGAGAATTCATCTGAGTGGGTGATCATAGTGACAGGATCTGCCCCTTTGTCGGACAAAGTGAATGATCGGGGAATGCACTCTCTCTGACGAAAACCTAAACTGCCGGCAATGGATTTCAAATGTGTTTGAAATTTGGTTTTGCAAAATATATTTATATAGAGATCTACTTATATATTATGGTTTCAAATTGTTTGCAAAAAGGTTTTAATTCTCGAGATCCATGTGATTAGAGAGTGCAACATTGTACCTTGCAACCGAAGGAGAGGTCCTCCCTTGTCGGGCAGTGTATGATCATTAAGGGCTGAGAGGTTAAGTGTAAGACCATTGAGGGTAATACCTGATGGGATAATCTTGCATCTGCCCACAGTCCTTGGATTTTCATAAAGTGGCTAGACCCAATAACCATTTAGTGTAAATGTTGGGCCCATTAAGAGCCCATGGTGATGGACTCAGGGGTTCACTATATCCTACACTGTATTCGGCCATGCCTTGTAACAAAGGCTGGGTTGAACCCATGCAGCTGATGTGTAGATCGATGTTAGGATCCCACGCCATACAAAGAGAGCCAAGTTAGCTAGCAAATTAAAGGGTAAGTGGGCTACGTAACTTAATGGGCCTAAAGACCATTTCAAACTGGGCTTAAGTAAATTAATTAAAAGGGGGAGAAATCTGGTTTATAATCTAATTAGGATTAGCTGAAGGATAAGATAAGTCTTATAATAGTCCAGATCCAAATATCAGATTTGGATCAAGAAACTTTCTCCTGATTGGATTAGGAGGCTAATCCAAAGAAGCATATAAATAGGGGGCGAATTCTTCAGTTTAAACACACTTGGCAACCTGGAGAATTCTCCCTATTCTTACCACCCCTACCTAGTTCGATTTCCACCTGTGGAACTAATCCAGAAAGGTTCTTGATATTGTTTATTTCTAGAAGAAACAATCTGAAGTCGTGCTCACTAGCCCTTGTTCGATTCTTGATGAAGAGTTCAGGTTCTTGCTGAAGAACTATCCTGTTGATCTTGCTTCACCATACACTGTGTCATCTTCAGTGGAGGCAGGTTTTGGTCTTCTCCTTGGGCATGAACACCTACATTGGGAGTTACTGTTACTTTGTATTAAGTATATCATTCTCTTCCCTTTTGGTTTCAGATCTGGTCTAGTTTTGATTCAAGAACGAACCTTGAAAATGCACTTTTCTAAATTAGGGAATACGATTCCCGGATGGGAGAGAAAGAAATTTTTGAAAATTTGCCAACCTTCCTGTAGGGTTCGGCCATTCATATGATGGATCTCCCATCCCTTCACCCACACCCTAGCTAATTTGCCGAAAATTTAAAATTTGACTATAGCTAGACCGAGTAAACAAAACCAAACCACAAACAGACAATAACCCAACCTATTGACGCAAAACTAAACCTAGACCCTCCCAACCCACCATAGAAGCAAACATATCCCAACATAACTGAATTAATTCTACCTAGCTAAACATGAGTTTGCATCTCCGCCCCGCCGCTTGTCGCCCCACTAACGCCCCACAAAACGTGCAACTACCACATGTCCAGTCGCACGCAGTGGGGCCTTCCCGCATACGGGGCTAATGGGGTGGCCATTAGCTCGTCCAGTTAGCCCCAAAATGAGTCCAAACTTTCTTTCTCCCATAAAACATTTTAAAAAACAATTCAGAAACGGAATCATTTTAACCACCCGTTTCTGGGTCATTGGTCCGATCATCTAATTCGAATGGATGGCCCATTCTGACAAATAAGTTAAAAAATAAAAAATAATTTAAAATAAAAAACAGTTAAAAATAGTTGAATAGGTCAACGATTTGACCGCCCAGGTCAACGGGTTATTGACTTTTTCAACGGTTTTCGGCCAAATACCAAGTTTGGGGTAAAACGAAACTCGTTGACCTAGGCGTACCTAGTAACAATGAACTGGCCGGAGCGATCACCCTTGCTAGAAATGGAGTTGGATCCGAGCTCGGATAGAGGGGAGTAGAACGGGAGACAAATGCGATTTGAAGCAAGGTTTTCGAACTGTCGTTGACCCGGACAATTAGACCGTTCGGCCCAAGAACCGTCTAGGTAACTGGTTCCATTGACACGGTTGGATCGTTTGGCCCAAGAACTATCTAGGCAACCGGTTCTGTTGACCCGGGGAATCGAACTATTGACCTATCAACCTGTTCAACGGTTTTGACCATTTTTTATTTTTCATTATTTTTACTTTTTAAATTTATTTGTTAGAATGACCTATCCGTTCAAACCGGATGATCGGATCATTGACCTGGAAAACGGTTCCGTTTCCTGGTCATTTTTTAAAATGTTGATTTGTGATTGAGGGGGCGGGAATATGGGAGAAAGGAGGTTTGGGCTTGCTTTGGGGCAAATGGGATGAATGGATAGGCTATTTTGACAAATAAATTAAAAAAATAATTAAAAATCAAAACGAACAAAAACCGTTGAACGGGTTGATGACCCAAGACAACGGAACCAATTGCCTAGACGGTTCCTGGGCCCAAATTGTGTCTGACCCCTGTTTTACTCCCCTCTGCCCGAGCTCGGATCCAACTCCATTTCTGGCAATGGCGATCGCTCCGGCCAATTCATCGTTACCAGGTACACCCGGGTCAATGGGTTCTGTTTTACCCCAAATTTGGTATTTGGCCAAAAACCGTTGAAAAAGTCAACAACCCATTGACTTGAGCAGTCAAACCGTTGACCCGTTCAACGATTTTTGACCATTTTTTATTTTTTAATTTATTTCTTAGAATGAGCCATCCATTTGAACCGAATGGTCGGACCATTGACCTGGAAACCGGTGGCCAAAGGGTTCCATTTCTGAGTCGTTTTTTAAAACGTTGTATGGGAGAAAGGAAGTTTGGGCTCGTTTTAGGGCTAACGGGACAAGCTAACGACCGTCCCATTAGCCCTACATGTGGGAATTATACCTATTCATGGGCCGGGTAGCTCGACGGCACATCCCGGCCCACCCCGCACAGGCTTGGACATGTAATTAGGCCCGTGGGCCTGACCTTAGGCCCAATACAGTAAGCTCGACTGTGTTTCGGGCCAGGCTCGGGATTTGTCAAAAAAGCCAGGCCCGAGCCCGGCCCAACCCGACTCAACATTATATATTTTATAAATATATAATATGCATTTTATATATTTATATAAAATATATAGTATTTATTAGAATATATATGTATATTAATAATTTAATATATATATTTTTTTTATTTTTTTCTTTATAATTTATCTCTTTCTCTCTCTCTATTCAACCACTTCAGCAATAGCAGTGGCATGAGATAGACTTCCGGCTTGGGCCCAGGCCCGGGCTTTGGGCTTTTTATGAGGGTCGGGCTTGGGTCTTAGAAAAATCTATTAATGCAGAGTGAAAGCCTGGCCTGAGCTCGAACCAGTTTGGCCTATTATTAGGTCTAATGGGAATGCCCCACCGCATGTGACTGGACATGTGGTAATTACACGTTGTATGGGATGTTTGTGGGGCGACAGGCAGTAGGGCGGAGATGCAAAGTCGCTAAACATAGATAAGACCATTCTCACCTATCATAGACTTACCCAAGTCTCACAAAACACAACAGTATAAACCCAAAAAAGTATTGAACGAGATTTGATTCGATTCGAATTAGATCTATTTACACCCATATCAACCACAAGACGTACCCATCTCAAGGTAATGGAGTATGTTTTTATGACTGTAACATTACGACAATAATAGTCCTCCAATCCATAAACTTCTGCCATACATAAAATAATAATTAACCTCTTGGGTCATTCAAAATGGCAAAACCGCTTTTTTATTTTATTTTTTAAATGGCAAAACCGCTTTGCATCAACTTCTGGGTCCCATATCGTTTCTTCTCAATTCTCATTCACCCATGCGTGTGGGACCTGTGGGTCCGCTACATACCCAAGATACACGATATTATTGAATAAACACACTGTTTTAATGTTTCTCTCATTCAGATATTAAACCCCGCCTAAACCACTGCTTAATTAAAAGTAAAAGTCTCTCTCTCACTCTCGATTTTGCAGGAAAATAAGACCCAGAGATCTCTCCCTCTCCTTCCAAGGCACACAGTGTATTTCTAGGTTTTCAGTTTTTTGATGCCTGAACCACAAGCAGATCTCTAATGGCAGATGCGCACATTGGAAATGGAGAAGTAACACCAAGCTCGGATTTTGCTAAACCCACATCGGCTTCGTTCAAGTCCAGGAAGAAGAGCTCGATTTCTCGGGTCGGTTCTGAGATCGACGACTTCATCAATCTTTTGCACGGTTCCGATCCAGTCAAAGTCGAGCTCAATCGTCTCGAAAATAAAGTTAGAGGTGAAGGATTTCGAAAATTTCTTTCATTTGTTGATCAAATTTCTCAACTTTTTTTTTTTCTCTACGAGAGTTTACTTAATTATGAGGAGAAATGATATATTTTTTATTTCCCTTTCTCATCACTGTTGTTTATTAGTTTTTTTGGTGTAATACTCATTTTGGTTGTTAAATCTTGATATTTCTAGTTGAATGCACATAAACTCAAAAGAAACGATTACATTGTCACTTCATGTTCAGATAATGAACTTTAAAAGGGTTTTAACAATACCTTTTTGTTTTTATTCGGAGTTCCGGTTGAGCCGTTAAAAAACAAATAAATACGAAAAGAAGAAAATGTTTCTATCGATCTCTACAATGTTAGTGGTGCTCCTAATATCTGGCGTTTCTTTTCTTTTCTTTTCTTTTTTTTTGCATTTGTTCGTTTTTGTTTTTATTTCCTCAAATTCCTGATTGGTGTTTGCTTGGATTTTCATTCTCTTAATTCAATTTTACTTAAATATATGTTGCTTTGAGCGTAGGGGTTGTTCATTAATTAACGCAAACGATACCTCTATTTTAGAACGCTAAATACCTGTTAGAAAGTTTAAAATTTCAAAATTTTAGAACTCATAATGCATTTTCACCATTTTAATTTCAATTGGATCTTCACTAACCTCAAAACGCTACTTAACTCAAAAGCTTGACATCTTTTCATTAACTTCTTTTCCTTGGATACAAAGGTTGGAAAGGGAGCTGTTATAACTGTCCTTTATTTTGTCATCGTGCAAATTTTATATTTGTTTTTATATTTATAAGCCTAATGCAAAAACTAAACTTATGGACAAATGTCTTAGAAACAAGAAGTTTTAAAGTGAAATATATGATATGCAAATTTAATAATAATAGGAGTGCAAATCAAAGTACACCTAGGGTTGGAGACCTAGAGATAACTCAATGTGACCTTTTTTTGGTATCTTGGTTTGGTAATTCATAATCAGAGAGAGATTGAGGAGGAAATTGCCCATAGAATTAGAGCAAGATGGAAAAATTGAAGGGTTGCATCTGGTGTTTTATGTGATATGAGAATGCTACTTAGATTAAAAGGAAAATTCTATAAAATAGTTGTAAGGCTGGTTATGTTGTAAGGAGCAGAGTGTTGGTAGTCAAGAAGCAACATGTCAAAAAAATGAGTATGTCAAAAATGCATATGCTGAAATGGATGAGTGAAAAAGCTAGAAAGGAGTAGCATCAATAGGTGATAAAATGAGAGAGAATAGACTTAGATGGTTTGGTCACATGCATAGAAGACAATCAACAACACTTTTAAGTGAAAGATGATCATCCAATGATCATATTGTGCACAAAATCCCAACAACAAGAGAGGTGGAATTTCAAAAATTTGCAAAACCCTAGTGCTGAAATCGCACATATCAGAAAACCGGTTTTTCCTCATAGGACCGATTGGGTTCTTGGACCATGAAAGATCATATCTTTTTGGATAAAGATTGAATGCATTGCCTGATATTGAAGTCCACAAATGCAGAATTTTAAGTGTTGTTCACACTCAAGCTTGAATCCTCCCAGTAACATTGCAACAAGTTGAAGATGACGCAACTCTATCTTTGCAGTATTAGATTTCTTCTCTAGAAAGTACAGTAACAAAGGTCCAACCTTTTTCATGTTTTTGGGGGATTTTCATGACCCAAGTGAAGGCTGGAATTGTGCTTGAACCAATGGATATTAGCTCTGGTTGAATGTTGTTCAAAACCCTAGTTTAAATGTCTCACAATGAGGGGATTGAATTCAGCTAGTAGGGAGAAAAAAAGCATGGTTCGATCCCCTCTCATTCGTCTCTATTCATAGACTTGGGAGGGCTGCAAGAGCCCTCTCCTAATTTACAACTCTTAATTTTGGCCTCGTTTGGCGCATCTTTCTGTGTGGGCTGTCGGGTGTTTAGAAGGCCGACAACCCACGTTTTTGTCTATTTCCGTTTGGTTGGGAAAAGATTTAGCTGCCAAAAGATGTTGCCTCAAAAAGATGTGTGAAGCCCATTTTGGGCTATTTTTGGGAAGCTCCAAATGGGGCTTTTCCACATTTTTCATCACGTCTTTGCGTAGAAAGATGTGCGGGAAGACATGCCTTAACCAAATGGTCTTCAGGCTGCTAAGATCTTAATGCAAAAGCTCACGTCGTCTTTTGGTTGTCAGATCTGCAAGAAGATCTTTCAAGAAAGACTTGGCAAACGACACCTTTATTAGGATAAGATTGGAGAGAGTCCAACTCTATTAAATCAGTCATTATATTTGAATCCTTCAACTGGTCAAACTAGTCAAATCCTAGTCTTACTAGACTTATCTAGCACATAGTTTGACTAGGACTCTAATGTAAGACTCTTAACTATCCATTCGAACTCTATTATTTTTGGAAAATGTTTATCCAATTAGGAGATTACAACTTATATGGTGTGGGACCCACAACTTAATGGGAGTGTCAACATATCACATGCTTAATGCAAGCTAGTAGGGTTGGCCACTTAAGTTTTAATTAGCCATTATAGGCTAATTCGACCATAGCCGTTATGGGCTTAAGTGATCAGGCCCATTAAGTGTCTGAACTCTTAAAATCACTTGGAACTTTACTGTCCTAAAGGCCCAATTCTATTTCTTCAACCCATTATGTGATGATCAAGTCAATGCAACCTAATTAATCACTTGCAATCAATCTCTTTGCTATAAGACTTGACACCACATTAAGGGATGGACTTTTTCCCTCTTTGCCTTATGACATGGTGTCTGACTTCCAACACCATTGGATCTTTTATTGAGGATTCAGATAATCCTATTGCCGCTTGCCAGTAGATTCAGGACTTTGAGTAGGAAGTTGTACAAAGTGTTCTCTATGCCTTGACATAGGAGTAGATCCTATCACATTGATCTTCGGTGGACATACTGTCCTTGGATGCCCCAACATACCTAGATATTTGACCCTAGAAGGATCTCATTGGTTGTATTATTAAAGGCAGACAAGTTTGATACTCAATCTGATATCAATATCAAGTCTAGGGATTGAAAGCAACATCCAGTTGTTCCACTTGTCATAAAGCCCAGAAACAAGCTAGGTTTGGTCCAATTTTGTTTCTTGCAAACACTCATCCTCACACCTTAGGTCACAACCTGAGCAACTGAGGCCCACTGTTCCACTACCTCTTTTTTTTTTTATTTCATTTTGGAGGGCAACACCTTAGGTCCCCCAATCCAGGTGCAGGCGGGATTTGATCCCAAGTCTCTGCTACGACTAGCAAGTGACCTTACCAGCCAGTTGATTGGCACTTTGCCACTGCTCTACTACCTTTGGCAATGTGAGAATGATAACCTTGGCAGGGTAGACTTCCCCAAGTGTATCCACTGGTTGTGAAGTTTAAGTACATATTATAACAATCATGTGGTCTCATACATAATACTTATATGAACTAAGTGTATTTAGCAAAACAACCCGATGACACATGAACTGAATATTTCTTTTATTCATAACAAAATTATATACAATACATCAGTTGGAGCTGAGGGCATACACACTGTCTAACAACAAGAAGAAATGATTTGTTGTAGGTTGAAGGGGCTAAAAGGGCTAGGGGTAGATTAAAGAGGGCTTGGGTAGAAGTGGTAAAAAATGATTTAAGTGCTACTAATTTAACAATGGATATGGCTTTAAATGGAACAAAATGGCAAACCAGGATTCATGTGGCTGACCCATTATAGTTGGGGTAAGGCTTGGATTATGATGATGATGATATATATTTTGTGTTTGGAAGTTCTTTCTTGGCACAACAATTTGCACCATTACTTATGTGATGGGTGGAGGGATTTTACCCTGCTTGTTCTACCTTGCTTGTAATGATGCTTATGGGCATCTCAAACATGAAACTTTAGGTGGCCAGTAGGTTTGAATCCCTTGTTTGCACAGAGAAGTAAATGATTGGGATTTGGAGGACCTCTCAAACATGTTGATACTCTAGAAGGTGTAAGACCCCAACCCACTCTTGAACACAAGTTAGTGTGGTTAAGTGAGAATTTAGACTGTTTTACAGTAAAATTATTGTTTAAAAATTTGGTTGGCTCCTCTAACCAGCGTGTGGCTTGGGGCTGGAATGTGAATCATACTCTTTGTGAGTGGTGTGGTAAGGCTACGTACGGAGGTCTCCTTGAAAGACAAAGGAAGGCTGAGGGCAAAGGGTAGGCTAAGGGCTCTGATTGACAGAATGTTGTATTCGTTATGATTTACGTCTCCCTTTATAGGGAGAGATCCTGAGCTCCCGAAAGGAAGGAGTCAAAAGAGTTTGATTCCCACTTGGAGAGGGAATCTTTGATTCGATGTCAGTTGTCAGGGGGACATTGCTAAGGTTTCGCCACGTGTCTTATGAGATCTCTCTAGGACAATGTTTCCTTTCATTTGAGGATTCTCATAATACACATATGCTATTTCCTTTTTTGAGTCTTTTGAACTTACGCGTCTCTCTTATTCCTATTGGGCGTCATTTCATGAGTGACATTGGTCAGTCATCATGTTTCTTTGTTCGTTGCTGATCTGTGATGGCTGTGAGCTCATTGTAGGCTTGCGATGGCTTTGTGCTCATCGTAGATCCTTGGCGACTTTGGGTTTATCCTCGTTATCACAGCCTTGAGTCTATTGTAGGCCTGTGGTGGCCTTGAGCTCATCACAAGCTTGTATAGGCTTTGAGCTCATTGCTAGTCTGTGCAGGCTCGGAGCTCATCGCAGATTTGTGCCGAATTGTGAACTCGTCATGAGTGTCTCTGTGCCATTGGTTTAGCACCTTCTACACTATTGCGGTTGTGGTGATCAACATGTACCTACACTCTCATCCACTGCAAGTTATTTGCCAAAGTTTGGTCCCATTGTTTCAACATGTTTGGTGTTTCTTGGGCTGTACCTCAGATCTGGAATCACTGATCTCATCCTGGAGTTTGGAAGGCTTATCAAAGAGGGGAAAGATCCTTTGGGGCATAGTGCCTGGAGCAGTCTGCTGGGTTGTTTGGAAGGAAAGAAATGGCAGGGCTTTTCTTAATCAAGCTCTGCCAGTTGAGAGGATTTGTGGAAACGTGGAGAGGTTATTGGTGAAATGGGCTACCATCTACAGTTTTTTCAGAGGCTTTAACTTTAATCACTTCTACAGCCACTGGAATTGAATCATTTGGGATAAAAACTGTGTTTTGACTTGTTTATCTGTTGTCTCAGAGTGCTGTTTGTGTCGTTATTCTTGGTGCTGTTGTATTAAGGGAATCTCTCCCTTCGCTTTTACTTTCCATCTTAATAAAATTTTCATTTTCATCTTTCAAAAAAAAAAAAAACGAAAAAAGCCTATGGACATCTAATTGTTCAATCTCCAAGAAAAGTATAGCTTTTACAGGTCAGGTGTACATGTTCAACTTCTGATTACTTTATGGTCTTTATCCTATATTTGCAGATAAGGAGAGGGAACTGGGAGAAGCACAAGCAGAGATTAAGGTGCTGAAGTACTCGGAACGTCTCAAAGAAAAGGCTGTTGAAGAGGTAACTACTGAAATACCAAAATGTTAATAGCCAGTTGTGCATAAATGTTTAGAAACCTTAATGAGAATTGAGAAAGAATATGAGATTCTATAATTTTTTTCAACTCTGAAGTCAAAAAATGCATCTGAACATTTCATTTTGATCTTTCATATTGTTGATGACCTCTAGTGAGTTGTTATATGTTAAAGGTAAATCTAGTGTTTTAGAAGCACAAGGCACAAAAAAGCACAAGGCACAAAAAAGCACAAGGGGCATTTTGCTCCTGAGGTGCAAGGGGCAAGGCGAGGTGTGTACCTTTTCAAAGTAAGGCACAAAAATGCAAAAAATGCTAAAAAAATAAAAAATGCCAAAGAATTAAAAAACAAAATACATAATATCAATTAAAAATATAAACATAGTTAAAATAAATGTTTTTAAAAAACCTATTATCTCATCAATAACAAATAACTTTCATTAAGAAAAATTGATATTAAGTACAGAGGAGAGGGGGAGATAAACTCTGTTAACTCACCGATCTAAAGAAACAAAAACCATTTTACATGTTAGCCCAAAACAAAGCAACCCTATTCATCCCTTGCTTAGCTAACCCATTAGAAAAAGAGTTGGCACTTCTTTTAATCCAATTCAGCTTAATTTCAATATCCTTTGCTAACCACTTGGATTTCCTCTTTTTTTGATAATAACAGAAAAGGAAATCTTATTAAAATAAGAATCACAAATTACATCCTGGTGTAGAGATTACACCACACACCATTACAGAAATCTTTCCAAATAAGAATCACAAATTCCTCTGTTCATTTTTATAGTTCCAAAATACAGTCATCTCTTTCTTTAGCCATCCCACCACCAACTTGGAGTGTCCTATTATCAATTTAGTAATGCTCAAGTCCTTGGCTCTTTGTACTCTTTCCAAGGCTGCCATGATCTCAGCCCGAAGAGAGTCACCCACTTCTATTGGATATGAGAAAAGAGCAATTATTTTTCCTTCCTCTTTCCTTAGTACCCCCCCC